CCAAGCTACTGGATGCCTCATTGGCGAGTTGTTACGGGATTGGGCCCGAACTTTGTAGTTTCGTGTCATTGTATCTCCAAAATCATGTGACACACAAAAAACTAACTGTGATTTATGAGTTGTTTTAATGAGCTTATGTAGCTGATCGCTGTGGCAGCTTCTATCACCGGGATCTTGGTGTCTCGGTGTTCGCACGGTGGTCTGTGACGGTTGCAGCGGTCTCAATACACACTGACTGCTGGTAGCGCTCTGTGTCGAGGGCGTCTCCACGCAGACCTTCGGTCAGACACTTGAACTTTTACTGCTCATGAACCTAACCTAAATATTGGTATCCTTCAGACATAAACCATTCTGTCCAAGGAGTCCATGCAGTTTTTTTTCTGAGAGCTGCATTGCAAATATTCCGCTTTCTTTCCGCATCGCAGAAGTTATACTGATACTCTTTCTTGAGAAGTGAAGTGATGACAAGCTACCACCGTAAGGCGTAAGGAGAAATGCTTAGAAGTGTTCGGCTACATCGCATGCGTATTAGTGATGCCAATCGGAACTTCTGATTTTGTCCCTGACCTTTGTCCTTCTGATTTTGTCCCATGTCCCATTCGGAATTTGGTTGGACAAAGGCAGCAGGCTTTGGATAACATGGGCAATGAAAATTGTACTGGTTTACAATGACAAGCATTTTATTACACAAAAGCAGGTCTGCGGAGGCGATGGATTTATTTTTCGGCGAATCCGACTCCGACTCCGGCTTTCCAAAACCAACTCCGACCCCGACTCCGGGCAGAACTGTCGACTCCGACCGACGCCAACTCCCGACTCCGACTCCTCAGACCTGGCAGGGCTGCGGAGTAGGGTGTTTCACTTTTCACTTTTTTTCTCAGATTGTCTCTCCTCGATCGGATTCCCATTATTTCATCTTTTTAATAAAATTTGGTGGCAATTATTCGATTTTAAACTCGATTCTAAACGTCGCGATAATTCGCCAAAGTTTTCAATTTTTGTGCCGTTCGGCGTTGAAGTCACCCATGTTAGAGCAATTGCAAGTAGGGCACTAACACCAAGAAAATACGGCCGTGCAAGAGGTGGTATTAACCGGTATTTTATGACACTGTGAAGGTTGAATATGGTACCTGCGCTTCCATAAAAGTGTCGTCGCATATTCTGGTGCTCAGATTAACATACACAGACATAACTCATTATTCAGGACACGACAACTTAACAGTAAGCAAAACACTGGTACGTCAGTGACGGCAAAACATGTATTTCGGTACCGGGCCTCAACACCGTTTCTCATCGAACCCAGTCACAGGGTAGCCAGGGTTGCCTTTGTCATGTGTGGCACTGCACGCCTGTGCCTCTCCACAGCCTGCAGAAGCCACTGGAATTGGTCCTGCCCCTTCACATGCTGAGCGAATGTTTTCAGAAGAGCGATGCCCCTCTCCGCGGTGTCGTTCACGACTTTCACTGTTTTCACGAATTCCTTGCATAGGATGTACGCCTCGTGACCTTCCCACTCCCCAGGAGGCTTCGTCATCCACTCGTGGTCGACTCCCATCAGGTGGTCCAGCTGGTCCGCGAACAAGAACATCTTGATGCTGTACAGTGTACAGCATCAAGTGTACAGCATCAAGATGTTCTTGTTCAATCAAGAATGTTCAGGAACTGAGCCATCCGCTGCACCTTCTCCTGCATTGGCTCATCGTACTCCAGCTGGTCCGCGAACAAGAACATCTTGATGCTGTACAGTGTACAGCATCAAGTGTACAGCATCAAGATGTTCTTGTTCGCGGACCAGCTGGAGTACGATGAGCCAATGCAGGAGAAGGTGCAGCGGATGGCTCAGTTCCTGCTCCTCTTCTATGTCGTCGCGTGGCTGCGGGCCCCTGTTGCAGAGGACGCCCCCGCTAACGACCTCAACCTGTACCGTAGCCTGGTGCGGTATAGGCAGTTGGACCAACCAGTGGCGAACGCTGCTCTCGCTGTGATGCGGCGCCATTTGTGGTATCTGCAGACATCAGTTGTAGTATTCAGCCTCTTTAGCAGCCGTGTCACAGAAGAGGAGAAGGAGGCCATATGTGTCAACCTGCTCGCAAACTCGTGCTCCGCGGCGCCTGATCAGACACCATCGGTCGCACTGGATGAGTCCACCAGCCTGTCAGAATTGGTGACCACGTCGTCGTGGCTGATGTTTGACCTGATGGGAGTCGACCACGAGTGGATGACGAAGCCTCCTGGGGAGTGGGAAGGTCACGAGGCGTACATCCTATGCAAGGAATTCGTGAAAACAGTGAAAGTCGTGAACGACACCGCGGAGAGGGGCATCGCTCTTCTGAAAACATTCGCTCAGCATGTGAAGGGGCAGGACCAATTCCAGTGGCTTCTGCAGGCTGTGGAGAGGCACAGGCGTGCAGTGCCACACATGACAAAGGCAGCCCTGGCTACCCTGTGACTGGGTTCGATGAGAAACGGTGTTGAGGCCCGGTACCGAAATACATGTTTTGCCGTCACTGACGTACCAGTGTTTTGCTTACTGTTAAGTTGTCGTGTCCTGAATAATGAGTTACCTATGTCTGTGTATGTTAATCTGAGCACCAGAATATGCGACGACACTTTTATGGAAGCGCAGGTACCATATTCAACCTTCACAGTGTCATAAAATACCGGTTAATACCACCTCTTGCACGGCCGTATTTTCTTGGTGTTAGTGCCCTACTTGCAATTGCTCTAACAATGGGTGACTTCAACGCCGAACGGCACAAAAATTGAAAACTTTGGCGAATTATCGCGACGTTTAGAATCGAGTTTAAAATCGAATAATTGCCACCAAATTTTATTAAAAAGATGAAATAATGGGAATCCGATCGAGGAGAGACAATCTGAGAAAAAAGTGAAAAGTGAAACACCCTACTGCGGAGTCAAGGGATTTTTGGTGACTCCGACTCAGACTCCGGCTCGGGTTTTCAAAATCGACTCCGACTCCGACTCCGGTCACAACTGTCGACTCCGACCGACTTTGACTCCGACTCCGACTCCAACTCCGACTCCGCAGCCCTGCGCAAAAGTGACTGTTCAAAAATATCTGAAATCCAAATTTTGAGTTAGAATGTTTCACGATGTTGAGATTTTTATGTTTTATCATTTCAAGATTTGTTTGCCATGCTTTTTTTGTACACACAAATCTTTTTTTTAGTCTTTACGGTGATTGTCTCATGTCTGGTTTTCTACGATTTTCTCCGCGAACAGCTTTTCGACCAGAAATGGCCGAGCATGACCTCAGTTTCATCTCTATAAATCATCACCTGAGATGACCTAGGACTTTTTTCAGGATTTTGTGATATTGATTTCCGGAGTGGTACTGAAAACGGCGAGTCGAAATTCGTAGCCGTTTTGAGTCATCTGCGAAAGATTATAGGGGTTCCTTTGCCCCCCACCCCCCTCCCAGCGGGTCCCGAGGTAATTAATTCTGTTGACTTGACCTTCGATGACCTGGGATAAAAAAAAATGAAGATGGGTGCCCAATTGATAACTTGCATCAGCTAGCTATTGCATCAGTTTCGCGGCGTTACGCGCCTGTTCCAAACAGCCAAAATAACTCGAGGAGTGCTGCCACAAAAGGCTTGTTTCCGCTTTCTACTAGGCGATGGCTGAATTTTAACCCAAGCAATAACGTAAGTCGACTTCCCAGATGGTCGACGGAGGCAGGCGCAGCTAAGCCGAGTTGGAGTGCCTTCAGTCAGAGCTGACAGGTCGGATGTGTGCCGGTCGAAAGGCACGTGCGGCCGGCCGAGCCGCGATGCTGCTCAACTGCGCAGTAAACCGGCTGGTCCACGGCCTGGCTAACGCAGCACGAGGTGACTCACGGGCTGCTCACGGAATGAAGCCATACCAGATGGCTAATGGTGTTCTGCTGTTCTATTGGCTTGACTTCTGTTCGATTGTACCTCTGTACACCGGCGTGCATTTACAGACTGTTAATTTTGACATATGATTCTTGTCATGCATCTTTTTCGCACTCGCAATTTGTCCATGAATCACATAGGTTCATTTCAAAAGGCCACGAAAGAAATTTGAACCGGAATCACATTGGACCAGGTCACTAGGTCGTGCGAAGTGTTCTTACTAAAAGTTTTTTATAGCCACACTGATTGGCGATTGCATTGGAACTTTCAGCGATTGATAATTGCTGAACGGCTGATATAACATTCAGTAAGTCACTAACTTGTGGCTAAATCCGCTGGACCATTACGGTAATGCTGTAACGGAAGTATTGAATGCTTCTTTGGGCAATGTTGGGTCTTTTTTAGGCTCATGGCGGTGTTTCGTCATGGCCTACCTCGCCCAACCTGCTGGTAACATTTGAACACCCCTGTCCGGTTTTTCGCGAATGGTGCAAAAACGTTGCCCGGCGCCGTCGTTTTCCACTGGAATACGTGAGAGTGAGCGGCGACTGGGAAAGAGAGAGCCCGCCGGTCTCAGATTTCCGGCATGCGGTCGGACGAGCTCCGTGGTCGCCGCATACCTGTAACACCGCATCCCGGCCGCGCGGAAATGGGTCAGCAGTGACTTTGGCCAAACCTGTAGCCGCGGAGGCCGTGCCGGCCACTCGCGATGGGTGCATACGTGACGCAGCCTCATTTCTCCGTCGGCCGATGTAGCTTCGCAAATGATGCCATAAGGGTATAGTTTACCCCATGCCCGATAGTTTACCCCATGCCCGACGATGGCGTATATCGCACGGTTTCTGGGTGGGTGGGTGAGGGGATCGCTATGGTTTCCCGGTGACAGGATCCTCGACCATCCAGCTTATCTTCTTAAAAACGTCGTGAATAAAAACCTAGAATTTCGAAGTTTATTCATACGCCTAGTTACGATGAGTTATCGTTAATTGCAACAGTGAACTAGCTTTATTATTGTGTATCTGTGAGCAGCGTTTTGCAGTTAACCGCTTGGATGTTTAAATGGCTCCCGTCCTGACTTTTGTGCTGCTCCATCGCCGACAGATGACCCAGACCATGTACGAGAAGTGTCATCTGGTGCACGCCGATTTGTCCGAGTACAACATCCTGTACCACGACGGCGCCTGCTGGTTCATCGACGTCAGCCAGAGCGTGGAGCCGTTCCACCCGGAGGCGCTGACCTTCCTCTACCGCGACTGCGTCAACATCACCAATGTAAGTCCGCTGGACGAGTAGCGACACTGCTAATTAACTTATAGAGCCGCCTGTCAGTGAGAATCTAAGTGAGAATCGTTTTAGCCTCAGTGGTTTGGCAGGAAACTAATAGGCAATTAACATGAGCCGACAGAAGAACGCGCACCCGGGCAAAAATAGCATAAGAGCTTTTCTAAGCCATAATCGACCTTAGTTACGGAGCGAGCGAAGCGAGCGTAGTCTTTCCTTAGATTAACGGAAATTTCTAGTATGAGCGGCCGGCCGGCCGGCCGGCCGGCCGGCCGTGGTCACGCTTCTGCGACGCTTATATCTCAGCAACCACTTGACCGATTTACACGCGGTAATTTTTGTAGGGTAGCTTCATTCCTTCTACCAAGTATTGGACTATTCCCGATGCATGTGGGTGACCCCTTATGCACGTGCCACGTGCAAAACGAAGAGGTGTCACTTTTGTAATTGTTGCAATATCTCGGTAACTACTTGGCCGATTGCGCTGAAAGTTGGCATGTAGGTAGGCACCCACTAGGCACTGCATATCCATGTGCCAGAGTTGGGGTGCTGCTGCACGTGCGCACGTGCAGGGGTCGATTCCAGATCTCGAGAACGGCTAGACCGATGGCGCTCAAATTTGGTACACGGTTAGGGACCGGTTAGTAGGGTGCCGTGCAAAAGTCAGTTGGGACCCATTTTGCACGTGCGCACGTGCAGGGTGCCTCTTCCAGATCTCGAGAACGGCTGGGCCGATTGTGCTCAAATTTGGCACATCGCTAGAGACCGGTTAGTAGGGTGCCGTGCACAAGTCAGCTGGAGGTACCCCCTCGAAATTTCGCACGTGCAAGGATCACCCTCTCGCTCGCTCCGTTAGTCGCCCCAAAAGGCGTTATACTGGTGTTAATTACATACATTCAGTTTGGAATGTTCTATTTAATGACGGAATATGGAGCGACGTGACATTGTCATTGTGATAAGCCCGTACGTTGAAAGTGGTAATGCCGTGTGAAGCCTGGACGTTTCATCGTATTTTGCTGCCCGCCTGTATGAAGTTTCGCTGCACCCTATTGGCCATTTGACCAACCGTCTTACTGTGTTCTGTCGGTCATCGATCTAGCCGTTTCTCTTTTGATGTATTGCCCGCCTGTCTGAGCGTAACTCCATGGTATGTTGGCACTCTGTCTGACCCATCGTCATTATGGCATAGCCTCACGTTGGTCGTCGGTCTTACGGCTGGTTTTGTTCAGTTTTTCAGTGGCAAGGGCGTGGCGACGCTCAGTCCCGAGGAACTCTTCAGTCACATCAGCGGTCTGCCGCTCACAGATCAGTCGGATATCAGTCTCCAGGTGAGTGGACTTGTGATCTGTTCAGTCGTATCAGCGGTTTGCCGCTTACGGCGCAGGGAGACGTCAGTCTCTTTGTCTCTAGACTGACCTGATGATAAGTCAAGCGTCCCACAGGTGGGTTAGTTCACTTCCGGATGCATTTGTGTTTTGTTCACGGCGTTAACCTGTGGTTTATTGACCACCAGCTAGTTATTACGTCACTATTGGGTATAAAACAATAGGGGCGAGATGACCGTTTTACGACCATGATCGACGTTACATACTAAGCCGATAAAAGCATTCCACGAGCTCCGAACGACCACCCTGATTGTAGTGCCAGCGGCTGTGTTCGTCTCGGTGGTCTGTATTGATTCGGGTGCTAGCTGTGGTCTCAGTCTCAAACTATATTGGTTTTGGTACTGGCTATCTATATTGATTACGTTGCCCTGTTCTCAGCTGGCGGAGCTGGAGAAGTCGGAGCAGCCGCGGCGGCGCGGCCAGCACCGCGCTCAGGAGGCGGCCCTGTTCCTGGAGGGTGACGACGACGGAGTGGACATCCCGGTGGCCACCAGCTGATCGCCGGCCCCCGGGACCGCATAGCAGACCGGCGACAGGCGCAACAAGTCGAGGGTTTTGGAAGACATGTATCAATATTGTCTAATTGATATTGATGTTTTTACCTGACCACAAACACGATAATGATTTCGGTAAATGAATCGGCGCTGCAGACAGATGTGCAGACAGATTAACGAAAGTGTTTTACTTGTATATTCGATGTATAAATTGGACGCGTTCATTTGAAAAATAGCTCCCTGTATCTCCCGGCAACAGATCAACAGATGTCCACTTCGGCAGCGTACCGTCGTGGGTATACAAGGGGTGGTTCGGTGATAATGCGTTCAGTGTTGCGGGAGCGCGTGCTGTTTAAGATGTCCATGCAGCAGCTGGGAACTCTACTCTACCAGTAATTGTGAAAGACGCTGAAAAACAATAGGAAATAAAATATAATTTGTATATCAATATACAATCTATAACAGTAACGGAATGTCTGAGAAAAGAACGTCCGGCTGATACGCAAGCTACTCCGTATGTCGTTCCGCGGGACTCGACCCGGCAGCGTCACAGCTTTGAGTGGGGGCGATCTGCACCGGCGCTCGGCAGCTCTCTGACATAGCATATTGTGTGTGAGTCGTCATATCGGCAGTATGCGCCTGCCGGCCAGTCCTCCCGGCCAATCGTCTTGTATGGTGTGGGGGATCGCACCCTGAGACCCAATTAAACAATGGGAGGCGGTAGCTGCAACAGGCACTAGTGTGGACATCCTAGTGGCTTAGCCAGCTTAACCAAAGGCTGAGACACGACGTGAAACTGGAAAAGCCACAGCTTACCTATAAAAAACTCGAGGTGTCTGATGATAATCTGCCCGGCCGGATGTTCCGCTTTCCAGTTTCCATTGTTTGCGCCATATGGTTGTATCCCTTCTAGACCTTTCAATGAATGTAGAGACAACTTTGTTGAAGTAGCATAGCTGCGTCTCATTGCATCATTAGTGTTTCACTCAGTGAACATGAAAAGAAATGTAAGAAATGACATTACATTTTGACAAATTACATTGTTAAAAAACTAAGTCAGTGACTTTCGACATGCCGTTAAGCCACGCAGCTAATAATTGATCCGGTTGCGGCAAAGATAACATCGGGATTCTCCTACACTCAGTGTGCCTATGGCTCACCCTGCTTCACAGGCGGAGTTACTCAAAACAGGTTAATGTTTTCGCGCGTTCAGTGTTTCGATACTTGGCCCATGTAGTGATGCAATGCAATATTGAATACTATCAATTCATTGCACTATGAATGCATCTCTAGTGTTATGAATGATTGGCCCCAACCTCGGGATGGTGGAGAGTGGTTGCTGGTCCGAACAGGACGTCTACTTCGTGTCGTCACCTCAGACTTTTGTCCCCGAACAAGTGTGATCCGACACCATTATCCCTCTTTGCTTTCTAATCCAGCGTATAGTCGACTACAGAATGATGTTCCACTTTTCACAGGCTATTATTTGCCTGGAGTGGTAGGCTGTGCCGCATCACAAGGGCTGAGTTCACAAATTATAGCTTTGTCCCAATGCTCACCATCGACACGCCTAATTGCGTGATAAACGGCACAACTTACGCTCCGGTCAACTGATAGCTTCTGAGGAGTGGAACATCATTCTGTAGTCGACTATACATCCGCTGGCTCAGTTCAGCCCCCTGGCGATCCGCACCGGCAAACACCGACCAACAAGGAGCGAGTCGCTCCATCCTGAATTTATTTGATGCTACAATTAACATCAAGAGAGCGTTCAACTGACCAGAGACCAACTCCTTCGTCCCCCGTGGACCTGCGGAGATCGTTGCAGCAACTCGTCCAAACCACGCCGTCCAGACTGGTCAAATCTCACACAAAGGACATCGAGCCGACTACACAGAACAAAGACATTAATCTAGGGCGATGCGATTAGAGCGGCCCTTCAATGGCGCATGTACTGCACATGCCCTGTTAGTTGAATCGAAAACACAAGTCGCTAGCGGCCATCCGTCTTCTGCGGCACACTGCCCCTCGCCAACCAACCAAGATTCGGTCGAGCCAATGGTTAAGTAGGTGCTTTTTGCGGCCAGCTATGCTTTTTGGGCACGAGGCGTCTGTGGCAACGTGGTGGTCATTTGAGTGTGTCGCGTGCACTGACCTCGAGGTTGAACAGACAATAATAGACTTAGTCCGTCAACCGTCTACTCGCCTTTGAAGACGAGCTCGGTGCGAAAATAAATTAACTGAAAGACATGGAGAACTGTTGATGTGCTCACAGTAGCTGGCGGTTCGGTGCGTAACATACCGCGCAGAAACCAAAAACACAAGCGCTTTCTCTCCAGGCATCTCGAACCGGAAACGCTTCAAAACGAAACAAGCATGAAAAGTCTCGAAAGCCTCTATCACATTGACATAAAATAGAACCAGTGTCAGACACGCAAAAGGATATTGACCAGTACTGTCCAATATCTTTCCGGATATAACGGTAAACTCGCTGGCGTTAACAGCCGCTAGCCAGAATATAACCCAAATACTGGTGAATGTCGTGGCACCTCGAGGCATCGGGCGAGCGTTAAGCGTGTTAAAGATCGCAAAGGACACCTGCCAAAAAGTGACCGCGTTTGTGTGAGCCACCCAGGGCACCAATGGAGCGTTAATACTCATGTTCGGCCGAGGCCGAGGCACCCAGCCCGTTTTGACCCAGTAAACCTTTGCAAAACAAAGCCGCAATCAAGCCGAGCAACTTCTGAATTCTTATCATCGCCGATTTTCTTTGTGTCACACAGAACGAAGCTTGCCGGGTGGTCGGTCTGTCGCAGTGCCCGCTTACGCCATCTTGGGCGTGTAGGCGGCCGCGTTGGGGTCCAGCTGACTCTTGGCCGGCGTCTCGGGCGTCATCTTCAGGTCGTAGAGGTCGGCGTTGGCGGCCGAGTAGCGCTCCATGCCGGTGCCGAAGCCGTTGTGGTCGCCGGAGATGGACACGTTGCTCGGGGACGAGAGAGACGGCATCACGGACAGCACGTCGGCCAGCTTGGCGTTCAGCTCACTGATCTCCCGCTCCTTGCTGGCCAGTTGTGCTGCAAACGCAGAACGGAGTGCTGGTTAATCACATCGTGTAGGTTGCTAAACTCATTGGGGCTTCAGAGCGACAGAGGTGCATAGAAAATCAAAACAAACAAGCTGGCAATTATGATAATGTGTCAGCTACCATCCCAGGCAAACGTGTGCCGATGGCTGAATTTAATCAAGACGTTTAATTGCCTACCAGCGGCTGTGTCATGCAAACTTTAAAGTTGAAGTTGAAGTTGAAATGATATTGCCAGAATACAACGCATCAAAGTTGATAGCCATTACAACATTGTGGCGTCGAACCGAAAGGCTACCCATGTTATGCACCTGCACTGAATTACAGGGTGTCCCATAAGTTCGTTCTCACATTATATTTGCATGTGAAACAGAGTACATTGCGTTTTGATATATTTCTGACCCCTCAATGTGCTCCCCATTTAATAGGCAAACACATGAACACATGCTGCGGCATGCCAACCGGCATGTTTGGCTGCATAGCAGGCTTAAAGTTAAAGGAAATAGTTCACTTTCACAAAATTATTTTTTTTGCAATGGATTTGTGATTTTTTATGTTCAAAATGATCAGCAAAGAAAATAAAACTATTTTACAACAAAAGATTATTTTCTATATTTTTGATATAGGAAGAACTTTTCAGTTTCTGTAAGGCACACGCAATCCAGTATGAAAAGAGCATGGGTCCCGAAAATTCTTCAGAAACTATAGAAATTATCGCGGCCACCGGCATTTGGGCGATCTGCTCGTGCTTTTGTTACTGGAGCGCCTCACTGGAGCGAATTTCTCTAGAGTTCTCGTAGATAATTTCTCTAGTTTCTCAAGAATTTTCGGGACCTATGCTCGTTTCATACTGGATGCGAATATATGCAAGGCACACATCCTCAACGCAAGACACATTTTTCGGGACGAGAAATAGAATATCTTTGCCTAGGGTGATCGTTGGGCTGTAAAAGCTCCTGATTTATGCTCGTCTCAGCCCAAGCTACGGAACTGCTATTCCAGTTCAAAACCCATGTTAAAAAGTGAACTATTTCCTTTAACCCAGACTGACTTGACATGCGCCGTGAGCGCCGTCCAAAGCCAAAACACCGTATAGGCCATTTTTTCCGAAATATGGTTTTTGATACCAGGACAATCCATTTTTGACGCTGCGTTTAGCTGTACCATTTATAGTTTTGTATCAAAAATATATTTTTTATTATATTAGATAAGGTATTATGGCTTTTGTGGATAAACCATGATTTAGCTACTTGGTGCCACCAAAATGCCGTATGGAGTGTGATTGTGAAATTCATCAGTTGTTTCAAGTCGTCAACTCATGCCAAAACACCGTATCACAGCGATGTGGTCTTTTGGCCTTGGCGGACGCTGAACCTATGCCACTTCATGCCACCGTTTCACGTGCGATGCGGTCTTCTGGCTTTGATTTCGAACGAGATTTCCGACAAAACCAGTGACAAAAACACCGTATTGACTGATATGCGGTATTTTGGCATAGGTTGGTGTCGGTAAATCCCCATCACCTTGAGATACACTCTTTTGGCACGAATGATTCAACGTGTTTCGGAAATAAGCTACCCAATATGAAATTCATGACAAAATTGACGGCGAGAATAATAACGACACAATTTTTAGAGGAATAATATTTAAAGATGTAAGCCGTTAGAGCAATTAACCTGCCACACTAGCACGTGGGCGAAGTGGCTCAGATCGAGGCTGCTCTGAATGCAGCAAACAGACGGCCCACCTCACTTTAGGCAAGGAAGCCAGTGGCGAATATCGAAGAGAGGCCGATCGTGATTGGGCTGCCGACGGGGTGACGGTGACGGTGTCATTATGATGAAAGAGGTGATGATACATACGATTAGGTCTGGCCATGCTCCTTCGTCCTTGGCTTACGTGTCTTCAACTGAACAGCGTGGCAATGCCCGAGAACACCCGCAGCGTCAGAAAGGACTGTTATCATGTGGTGTCCGTTTGCATCGTCTGGGAGTGGGAGGTGTAGCCGGACGTTGAACTGGTGGAGGTATCTGGTATTTACTTTTTGCTTGCAACTTGGGTCTTTCACACAGTCCAAAAGTGGACGCTGATGGATGCTGTTCAGTGTGCAATCGAACCACCTCACAATCCAGACTGACGCTAAAGTCGATCTAACCTGAAAACACCGGCATGAATGCCGATGTCTTAGCCGTGCCAGGTAAGTTAACTCAAAACCGAATCAGAAATCAGTTGGTTTCGGTACCTGTGAAAGCGGCCAGTGAACGCTTGAATATGCGTGGAACTCAGACTTTCCTATAACTAGAAGATGGCAAAACTTCCGTTGCTTCATTTAACTATTTTTAGCACCGTCTTCTTATTGTAGCCAATTTGTAGAAAAGCCCGATGTACGCATCAAACGTTCGCCCCCTCGGCTTGTCTTCAGTCTCCGACTCTCCGTCATCAAACACATTCCGCTCTCCCCTTTGAAGACTGGGTGAAAGTCCCAAGTTTCAAGCAAAAAAGTGATGCAGCCATGAGCCACGTCCAGATATCTCCACCAGTTCCACGTCCGGCTACACCCGTCGTCCCAGACGATGCAAACGGACACCACATGATAACAGTCCTTGCTGACGCTGCGGGTGTTCTCGGGCATTGCCACGCTGTTCAGTTGAAGACACGTAAGCCAGGGACGAAGGAGCATGGCCAGACCTAATCGTATGTATCATCACCTCTTTCATCATAATGACACCGTCACCGTCACCCCGTCGTCAGCCCAATCACGATCGGCCTCTCTTCGATATTCGCCACTGGCTTCCTTGCCTAAAGTGAGGTGGGCCGTCTGTTTGCTGCATTCAAAGTAGCTTCGATCTTATTTACTTTGCCCACGTGATAGTCTGGCAGGTATTGCTGAAATGCCTTTGACCCTAGAACTTTCCCCTAATTATTCGTGAATTTTGTCGCCAACTCCATATAGACCCGCCTATTTCCTACACATGATGCAGCATCGATGATTCCGAATGCTGGCAATTGTCGATGGATCATTCCATCATGTAAACTGTATGCTTCAACTTTACCGTAACTTGGAGGTCATCCAAGCCAAAACACCGTATTGGGGCATAAAACGCGATACGGTGTTTTTGCTTCGCGAAAAGGCACGAAATTTACATACAAACCAAGCCAAAACACCATATTGTGGCGGTCACACTTCGGCCTCCCCTCACTGTGCGCGCGCGACCGCCCCTGCGCGTGACCGGACGATCGTCCGACCGCCAGCTGACCTTGCCCCGGGGCACTGGAGGTCACAACCCCGTCCCGCTCCGCGCGGGCCAGCGCCGCACGGACGCGGCAGTTATCGACGAGTGCTCGGTGAGTGAACGTAACACGTGGTGGCAGCGGAAAACTGCAACGGAGCCATGGCTATGGCGAAGAATTACCGTTTACCGGAATTTGACGGCAGTGGTAATGTAAAAACGTGGATCAGCAAGATAGAAGTGATTGCCCGTGCTTGCAACTGGGACAGTTCAAAACCGGAACAGAAGACTTCCAGCGATTTCAGTGACGAAACTACGGCGGTGATGGCGCTCCCGGCGATCACCGGTCGGGCATTCGACTTCGCGATGCGCCTCTCCGACGGCGACAGGAACAGCTGGAAGAAACTGTGCGAGAAGTTGAATGCCGAGTTCGACTCTCCCGGACTCGCTGTTCAGTACGCGCTGGAGTTTCATCAGCGTATTCGCAGGCCCGGCGAATCACTGGCGACGTTCCTGTACGATCTGGAAACGTTGTGTGCTCGCGCCTACCCCGAGTGGGAGGACGCCACATACCGCCAGCGGCTGGTGAAGGATCGGTTTCTGATGGGCATCGGAGAAAAGTCGAGGAAACACATACTTTCGTTCTACCAACCAACGTGGTCGACAGAGACGGTTCTCCTGGAGGCGAGAAAGCTGGAGCAGATCGAGACGTCAACGGGAGGCGGCGCATCTGTGGGGGCCGTCCATGGTGCCCCGAGAGGAGAACAGTCGGACGCGTGGAGTACCGGCTCTCAACCTCAGCCCAGCGAGACTTCGGTGCTGTCGGCGCTGTCCGACAAGATCCAGATGCTGGAGGAGCAGATGCAGGCATGTCGCGTATTCCGTCCCAGCCGCGACTACAACCGCTCGTCCCGTTCGTCCAACAGGCGCCGAACACCGAGCCGTCGGAGGGAGGAGGGCTGCTTCAACTGCGGTGAACTCTCCCACTGGCGCTCTGACTGTCCGTACCAACGCCCAGCAGACCGGCGGTCGGGAAACGGGAACGGACCGAGGAGGATGTGAGCCGCCGCTCCTCGGTCCCCGCTGTAGTAGCCTCTTCTAGGGTGGCTCGGACGACTCCGCTGATCTGGGGCACCATCGACGGCGTCCGCGTCACGTGGCTTGCTGACACTGGCAGTGACGTCACGTTCGTCACCAGCAGCTGCCCGGCGGTAGGGTGCAAAGCGTTCCGACCCCTCGTGCACCCTGCATCGGCACCGGTGACTATTGATGGCACGCCGTTGAAGGTGAGGGGGACTGTTGATGCAACCGTCGAGTGTGGTCACCTGCCGCCGCGGCGTCACACGGTACTGATTGTTGACAGTGTGAACACCGAATGCGTCCTCGGCAATGACTTCTTGTCCCTGTATGGCGAGGTGGCGCTCGACTTCGTGCACATGACTATGCGACTGACGGAGAACTCTACGGCCGACGGGCGTGTGACCGGCGGACGCAGCCTCGGCGAGAGGGCGGTGGTACCCGGCGGCCCAGCTGCAGTTGCGGCTATGGAGAGCCGCGACGCTGGCGGCCCAGCCGCGGCCGGTGCACCGGCTACCGACGGACACCCAGTCGAGCTCACCGCGGACGTCACCATCCCCGCGGCGTCTGAGGTTCTGCTGGCGGGCAGAGTGCGGGCCGACACTGCATGTGCACCCGGGCAGCACATCACCTTGGTCGAGGACAGCAAGTTCACACGACGCTACGGGAACAGCCTCTGCGTCTCGAGCTCTGTGGACGTCATCAGGACAGATAGCGCTGTTCAGTTGCGGCTGTGTAACCCGGGTCGAAGTGCAGTGAAGTTGTACAAGTCGTGCACTGTCGCCCGATGTGTCGGCTACGCGGATCCGCCGACAGTGCGTGCCTCGCCGCTGAGCGATCTCAGCCGGGAGGAAAGGGAGGCAAGAGAGCGACAGCTGGAAGACATGGTCAGCAGCAAGGTCGCCGAGTCGGATGTGACGGACGAGCAGCGCCGTGCCCTGGCGGCGGTCCTGCTGCGACGCAACGGCGCGTTCTCCGTACGGGGAGAGGTCGGTATGTGCGACCTGGTGAAGCACCGCATACGTCTGAAGGACCAGCATCAGCTGCCCATCCGGATACCCCCGCGCAGAACCGACTGGGAGACCCGACGGAAGACCGAAGAGTTCTGTGAGGACCTAATGCGGAAAGGACTCATCCGCAGAAGCCACAGCCCGTGGAGCGCGCCCGTCGTCATGTGCAAGAAGAAGGACGGTAGCAGTCGGCTCACCATCGACTACCGAGGCCTCAACAAAGTGACCGAGTTCGACGCACACCCTCTGGTCCGGATCGACGACGCCCTGGACTGTCTGCAGAACAACAGCTTCTTCACCACACTGGACCTGGCCAGCGGATACTGGCAGTTCAAGATGGACGAGCGTGACATCGAGAAGACAGCGTTCTCGACCCACAGCGGCCATTACGAGTGGCTGAGGATGCCCATGGGGCAGAAGAACTCAGGCGCAACGCTGCAGATGGCGCTCCAGATGCTTCTGGCGGACTCGAACTGGCTATACACCCTGTCGTACGTGGACGATGTCATCCTATGGTCGAAGGACTTCGACACGCACCTGAAACGACTGGACGACATCCTGGGGAGATTCGCGGACGCCAATCTGCTCTTGAAACTGGGGAAGTGTAGTTTCGCCAAGAAGGAGGTACGCTACCTGGGGTACCTCGTGACCCAGGACGGCATCCGCCCTGATCCAGACAAGCTCAAGGCCGTAAGCGACTACCCGACGCCAGCATCGCACGAGGAGCTTCAGAGGTTCATCGGTCTGACATCCTACTATCGGCGCTTCTGTCCCAAGTACGCCGACATGGCCAAGCCGCTGCTGAGACTGTTGGAGAGGAAGGCAGACCGTACTTTCAAGAACGGCTTCAGATGGACTACAGAGTGTGACAGTGCTTTCCAACAACTGAGAGGCGTTCTGGTGACTGCGCCAGTCCTGGCGTATCCCAAGATGGACAGCGACTTCGAGCTGACGACTGATGCCTCAGATGTTGGGATCTCCGCGATCCTGTCTCAGAATGGCCGGCCCGTCGCGTTTGCCAGCCGAGTGTTGGCAAAGGCCGAACGTAACTACTCGACCACGGAGAAGGAGTGTCTTGGACTGGTCTGGGCCGTGGAACACTTCAGGGTCTACATCTACGGGAGGCGTTGCGTGCTCAGAACGGATCACAACCCACTGCTGGCTCTCTCCACCTCCAACAAGCTGAAGGGACGTCTCGCCAGGTGGGCTCTGAAGCTGTCTGAGTTCGAGCTCGACATCCAACACGTCGCCGGGAAGTCCATTCCCCATGCCGACGCGCTGTCCCGTGCGCCGGTCAGCGCCGTGCGTCTGACAGACACGGCTCTGGTGACACCGGAGGAGCAGGAGCGGGACGAGGCTCTGCGCTGTGTCAAGGACGGCATCGCGATCGGCAGGCTCGCCCAGACCGCTCCGGAGGGAGCACGACGGCTTTGGAGGAGAAGAGACGCGTTGAAGATCGAAGCCGGACTACTGATCAACAGATACAGGTGCCGCGGCCGAGAGCGCGAGCAAGTTGTCGTGCCGGCACACCTGGTGCCGGCTGTGTTGAGGCTGGCGCATGATGACCCCATGTCTGGCCATCAAGGAGGGAGGCGCACTCTGGATAGGGTAAGAGACCGGTTCTTCTGGGTCACGATGACTGCGGATGTCTCCGACTGGTGCCGTTCCTGTCAGGTGTGTCTCCAGGTGAAGCAGCCAGACCAGCGCGACAAGGCCCCACATCAGCCGTTGCCTGTTCCGCTGCGGCCGTGGGACTTCGTGTCAGTTGACATCTGCGGACCATTCTCGCCCAGTCGGAGGGGTAACAAGTACATACTCGTTGTCACAGATCAGGCAACGAAGTGGACGGAAGCGTTCCCGATGGAGCGTCAGGACGCCGAGAGCGTGTGCAAGGTCCTCATGGATGAGATCATCTGTCGCTTCGGCGCCATGCGTCAGATCCACTCAGACCAAGGGAAGCAGTTTGAGTCTGAGCTCTTCCGCATGCTGTGTGCAAGGTTCGGCATCCAGAAAAGTCGGACAACTCCCCATCATCCACAAGGAAACCCGCAAGCGGAACGGTTCATGAGAACACTCGGCAACATGCTCCGGTCCTACGTGTCGACAAATCACGCTGACTGGGATGCACGGCTCCCGGAGGTCATGGCGGCTTACCGGACAAGCGTACATGAAACAACGGGACAGACTCCACATATGCTGCTGCTCGGCTATGAGGCCACGACTCCAACAGATCTCGCGGCAGGTCGCGCCCGAGATGACAGCCAGATAGCATCACGCCTCCAAGAACTGGACGAGCTGCGCCATGAGGTGAAGGAGAAGGTGGAGTCCAGCAGGCGCGCCTACAGACGGAAACAGACCGTCAGGTTCAGTCAGCACGCTCCGGGGGACCTCGTCATGGTGTCAAACCTGAACAGGAAGGTAGGCGTCAGTCCGAAGCTGTCCAACAAGTGGATAGGACCGTTCGAGGTTCTCCAGTTGAAGAGCGAAGTGACCTACCGAGTGAGGGAAGTAGACGGCAGGAGGCGGTCTATGATCGTGCACCACGACCGCCTGCGTGCCTGTCCAGTGAGGCCTGACCGACTGCTCTCTGAGGACTGCAGCTCGGACGCCGGCACCCTGGCCCCCGTCCTGCCGGCGCCGGCGCCTGCACGTCGGGCTGACGAGACCCGCCTGGACTCGTTCGTGGACCTGGCCGTGGAAGACCTGCGTCATGGCGCGGCACCGGACGGTTCTCACGGACCGAGGGCTGCTGAGGATGAGCCCACCGAGGAGTCTGCTGAATCTGAGACCTGCTCCCCGCCGCAGCTGAACCGCTACCCGCTGCGAAACCGCAACGAGCCTGATCGGCTCACCTACACGAAGATGTAGCTGGAAGTGGGGAGGGAGGTGTGTGGCGGTCACACTTCGGCCTCCCCTCACTGTGCGCGCGCGACCGCCCCTGCGCGTGACCGGACGATCGTCCGACCGCCAGCTGACCTTGCCCCGGGGCACTGGAGGTCACAACCCCGTCCCGCTCCGCGCGGGCCAGCGCCGCACGGACGCGGCAGTTATCGACGAGTGCTCGGTGAGTGAACGTAACAATATCGAATGCTAAGTAAAATGATAATGATTACTATGAAATTTGAATAAATGTATCAATTCTGCAAGATCAGACAATTCTAATGGTCTTTTTCCTATCACGGAATGTTGATTCCTTCACATAGAAATCACACCTCAAAGTAAGAAAGCTTAAAATCGTTCTCCTGTAAAATTTGAAAAACCTGGGATGCGGTGTTTTGGCTTTGGACGGCAGACTGCTCCTCGAAGCTGGAACAGCGCTACGCTTCGACGAGCCTAATATTCTACATAACCAACAAATTTTTATAAAATTTTGATCCGATGAGGTGCCGGGCATGTGGTCTTGCCACAAACGCCTGTCACAGTCTCCTTGCACCGCTTTTAAGCTTTGCTTGGCCTGTGCACTAATGCACTGTCTTGCCTGAAGATGGGCCTACGACCTCTCGGATGCCATTTTCTCCTCTATAGATGTGTTCATACTCGCGGTTCGAGTTCAGCTTGAGGGTTGAAACTCCTCCTAGATGTTCTTGGAAAAGCATTATGCTTCACAAAGCTGTTTCTGGGACACCAATCGCAACCTGGTCAGCGTCTAGACGCCTATAACCCCACAATACCGTGACCTTGGCCTTTCGCATAGGAACATAACGGGACGAAACGGAGGCCTCCTCCTTCGCCCTTATGGGGTTGTTTTCGGGTTTGGACGGGTGTTTCATGTCGAACGTGGACTAGTTAGTCCAGATGACCTGGTTGATGTCCTCAGCCCTTTGGTTTTTTAGCCTCAGGCGTAACGAAACTCATGTTTGGCCATTTTAAGACGTTTTTGACTGTTTTGAGCCCTCCGGTAAGCAAAGCTTAAGTCACCTTGAGTTATGGACCCCGAAAGAACACTCTTAGACAGCTGGTAATCCATCCTGAAAAGTCTGCTTACCAACTTTCTAACCCTTTGACCTTTTTGATGGCCACTTTGGCGCCACACAGTTTTGGCCACATGGCTCACTCCTGAGAGCTGACAAAAAAGAGGATAAACTTACAATGATTGACTCCCGACAAATCATCGGTGTCACTTGCTGACTGTGCGTCCAGTTAGTGATGGACATTGTCTACAGATTGGTAGGCCTCAATCACCCTCAATTGTCGCGAATGGTCACGTGCTGACTAGATACCGAGACGTACCCGTATTGGAGACCTCTATGATGCGGCGTTAGCCGTCTGTGTAGGAAACGGGCTCTCTAGCAAAAACTACTTTGTCTACAGAAATTAAATGTGGAGCATATTTCTACCAGCCATGGCAACCACGTAAGCTCAGTAACGAACCAATTTCAGCGTGCCTTTAAGCAAGAGAGCCTAAAAACGTAAAATTTAGGTGAGAACGAACTTATGGGACACCCTGTAGCTACAATGACAAATGCATTATCTTCATCTTCATCTTCCAACGTAAAAACAACCATGGACGTGGATGTTGCTTACATTTGCTGATCTCTAGCTCGCGTTTGGCGTCTCCCAGTGCGCCGACCAGGTTCATCTTGTGACGGGTTTCCGATGACAGGTTCTTCTCCAGGTACTTGTTCTTCTCTTGCATGGCCGACAGCGCTGACATTAGGACGTTGGCGTCGTTCTGAGTGTCCTTCGCGCTGTGGAGGCTCTGTCAAACACATCACATAGAGTTAGCGACACAAGATGGTGAAAGCGGGGTCAAAGGGCGCCGCAACGGTAAACGCATAGTTTCCATCAATTCCTGACTTATAAACTGGAACTTGAAATGAAACAGTCGAGAGGATAGTATGCAGCACGTCATATGCGTGTGCAAATAAACATAAACATACCGACACTCCACAAGTCGAGCAGCGCAGGGAGATTCCTCAATATCCTTACACCCGAATATCGCAGTAGTCAATCAGACGGCAAAACGTCATGTGAATGACGGTCCGAAACAGACAACATAACACTAAATCCGTCCAGTGAAAGGGGTGTTCAATATACCGTGTGGGGTATCTCGCTCGAAACGGTGTCCCGTACTCGCGCAGGGCGCCAGCTGGGACCCCGCTCCGGCGCGCGCGGCGCTCACCTGCAGCTCTCGCTCGGCGGCGCGCACTTTGTCCTCGAACTGTTTGTTTTCGCGGCGCAGCTGGCGCGTCTCCGCCTCCAGCTCACGGCGCCGCGACTTGCACTGCTCCGTGCACTTGGACGCCTGCTCCGTCGCAGCCACCACCTGTGAATACATCAACAAATACGTAACTCAGACGCATACGAACATATTAATTGCAAAATTTGTAATGCATAACGTCAGACGGCGTGGCAATACGGGTAGTTAAAAAAAAACATCACGGCTTGCGACAACTATACAGCGATAATCGCAAGTATTTCGAATCAGAAAGCCGAATCCACGACATAAAGAAACAAGGTGCTCCACACTTTCGATCACGTCTATCATCGTCTCTCCCCTCCGCTCCAGACAGTTTGTAGTTTGTTAAATCGCGGTCCCTTGGGCAAGTCGATGCCCTTCTGACCTTTTTCTTTTCCTGCTGCAGCTGGCTTTCGGCAGTCTGTCGGAGTTTGCGCTCCTCGGCCACCTTCTTTTCCAGCGTGACCACCGCCTGCTTGTCCTGCTGGCGGCCGGTCACCAGAGTATGCAACCTAAAACGATAGACGGACTGATCAGAGAAACGTAAAAAAGAGCTGCCTGCGAAATCGCATCCTTTGATTAAAAATGATCATACATGAGAAAGGAACTAGCCTCGGCATCTGATGGCACAGAACAAAGCCAATGCGGCTCCCGCCAGTGGGCGATTTGTGCACCATGCTCATGCTTAATAACCTAGCAATGATAAAGCACAGCGGCGTCGTTCTCACTTGGATTGCAGACTGTCGTTGTCCAGCTGCAGCAGGTGAAGCTGATTCCGGGCATTTCGCTCCTGGATGACGAGATTCGAGACCTGCGAGCGCAGCTCCTGCTCCGTCTGTCGACTGGAGTTCAGGTCGACCCGGAGCCGCTTCACGTCCTGCTCCAACCTGCGAGCAAATGGAGGGAGGGGGCATTGTCACTCTTGTCAACCATTGAAGTAAAAAATAATAAAATAAAATAAAATAAAATAAAATAAAATAAAATAAAATAAAATAAAAATATTTAGGATCAAATGAGGTGCGGACCATACCTCGCTGCCCCACAAGAATAGTGTGCTGAGTAAAAGAAGCATTCAAGGATTTCATTTAAAAAACATCCATTCGCACCAAACACGTAGCACCCGCATCCATAGCTCATTGTAGTCGGGCGTAGCCTATGAAGGCTGTTTCGTTGGGGTTTCACCGCGATTCATTTGCAACGTGCTAGATGACGCCACCTTTAGCCCTGCTGACGTGAAAGGCGTAAAAGAGGAATGCCAAATTGCAGAAAACGCATGCAGATATATTGCCCGGAGGTTTGTCGTACGCGGCTGAAGAAAAGCAATTCTAATAGCATGGGACATCCCCAAAAGACGGTAAATAGCTTTTGAAAATACCCATCTCCAATTTTAGTGTTTTCTGGACTAAAATCTTGCGAGGAATCCGATGGTGTGGTCCCCGAGATCTGAAAAATTTCCATTTTGGAGATAGCACCTACTTTTTGAAAAATAAATATTCGTCAGGCATAATAGTCAAATAAATTGAAAATATAATGAGGTAATTTTTGTAACAACACTAGAATGTGTCGAACATGAATTAGAGATATATTTTAGCTGAGATGATACTATATCTGCGCATTCATGTACATGAACTATAGTTCGTTTTTTCTAAGTTCGACCCTCACTGTAAACGTCTCTTTGAACACAGCACGAGAATTGGTAGCTGAATTACTGAGAAAACTCGTTGGCGCACAATGATTTCGCAGACGATCAATTGTATCAAAATTATTTCTACCTGGCTCCTTTTTCCCAGAATCGCAGCTCGGTATTTGCAACCCCACAAGGATCGAGGACTTGTCAGGAAGTATAACTGAACTAATTACTAAATCGCACGGCGTTTAACGGAAGAGTATATCATCGGTGTTAGAAACTTATTTTGAAAATATTAGTTCATATCTCCAATACAAAGTGCGCTAACCAGTTTTCTCAGTAATTCAGCTAGCAATTCTCGTGCTGTTTCCAAAAAGATGTTTACAGTGAGGGTCGAACTTAAAAAAACGAACTATAGTACACTTAAACCCTCATCGGCCGAGAAGGGGTGGGGCGGGTGCCGCCTCATAGGGTTTTTCGTGATAGCTCAAAACACGCCTAGGGTAGACAGCTGAAACTTGGCATACCTTATCTTTTATTCAAGCTGGATCGGTTGACACCAACCGCGTTATCAGGTCAGGTCAGGTCACTGACCTATGACGTCATAAATGAGCCTCTGCGAGGTCCTCAGATGTTGCAAATTTGCAACGCCCTCAGTGCCAGAGGAACTTTCATGCAGGAAGATGAAACTTACAGGGTGTAGTATCCTTCAGAAGTCTCACAACTTGTATATCTCGGATTTAACCTAAATGTCACATGAGGTCAGGTCGGTTACGTGACCTCACCATTATAAGTCAATGGGGGAAATATGAAAACTGTTATTTTGGCGCCGGAAATGATCTAAAACTATCCCAAGCACATGGAATCGTGGTTTCATGATCGGACCTTGCAAGGAGTGCATGAAACCACGAGTTCATGTGCTTGGGACAGTTTTAGATCATTTCTGGCGCCAAAATTACAGTCTTCATATTTCCCCCATTGACTTACAATGGTGAGGTCACGTAACCGAACTGACCTCATGTGACCTTTGGGAAAAATCCGAGATATACAAGTTGTGAGACCTCTGGAGGATACTACGTCCTGTAAGTTTCATCTTCCAGTGAAAGTTCCTCTGGCACTGAGGGCGTTGCAAAGTTGCAACATCTGAGGACCTCGCAGAGGCTCATTTATGACGTCATAGGTCAGTGACCTGACCTGACCTGGCTGACCTGACCTGAAAGGGTGGTTGGTGTCAAAAGATCCAGCTTGAATAAAAGATAAGGTATGCCAAGTTTCAGCTGTCTATCCTCAGCGTGTTTTGAGCTATCGCGAAAAACCCTATGAGATGGCACCAGCCCCACCCCTTCTCGGCCGGCGAGGGTTAATGTACTAGTTTATGTACATGTATGAGCAGATATAGTATCATCGTAGATAAAATATATCACTAATTTATGTTCGACACATTCTAATTTGTTACAAATATTCACTCATTATATTGTCAATTTATTTGAATTTTATGCATGACGAAGTCGAATATTTACTTTTCAAAAAATAGGTGCTATCTCCAAAATGGAAATTTTTCAGATTTCGGGGACCACACCATCGGATTCCTCGCAAAACTTTGGTTCAGAAAACACTAATATTGGAGATGGGTATTTTCAAAAGTTATTTACCGTCTGTTGGGGCAATGTGATAGGTCATGTGCATTTGGTGACCATAGGCACGAAGTGAATAGAAGGTGGACCGCAGGTTTTTGACGCTGCGATCCACCATTTCTGAGCCCAACAGAAGAGACACTTGTCAAGGCTCAATGAACCCAGAAAGTTCGCAACGAAAGCTCAGCCGCACACGAATGAGAGCCTAACACAAAACACATGCCTTTTTGGGAATAATCTTACGAATCATAGCCTTGTAAGTCACTCAAAAATTAGCTTTATAGTTGATTTTATAGAACAAAAATAAGGCATGTGAATCTGGAATCCGGTGGCGGGATAGTATCGGCTCACTTTGAGATAGTGTCGTCCTTGCTGGCCACGTTGGGCACCACCGCGGCGACCGGGGTGTCCTTGACGCGCAACCGCTTCTCCTTGGCCGAGCAGCTGCTAGCCCACTTGGACGACCGCTGCGTCTGCGAGCAGTTCTTGTAGTTTTTCTCCTTGTCTTCTGACTCGTCGAACTCGTTTATAGAGCTGAAAGGGTATAGGCACCATATGTAACTGTTTATATTTGTCCGGAAACTATGTCGAAATGATTGGCATATGTATTGCTTCAATTGAACTAACAAAAGAGTTTTAAAAAACGGAAGTAGTGGCGTTAGCAATCATAAAAGCACCGCACGGTTAATGTCGCTAATGTAGGTAATGCTAGCACAAATGCCGCCTGATTCGACAAGCTCTTTAGGATATGACAGATCTAAATCTAGCAGCTACACCACATAGTCGCGTACCTGCACGTCATGCTCTAATAAAAATCAAAGGAATAATTAATATCTCAGAAGGCATGACAAAACCAGACCTTACATTGCTACATTGAATGACATCCTTCAAAATGGTGCGTATAGCTAAATTAAAACTCGCGAAGCCTGTCCACTTCCAGCAGAAGCTCTCTCAATGCAAGCCAAAATTAAATGGGGTGAAATAAGGCCGACCATTTTTAGGACCCGCTCGAGCTACACAGAGGACAAAAACAAATGTAACCACAATTTGCCAGCTGAACAACTGTTACGGGCCCTACCTCCTTCGCTGCTCCATGAAGTCGAGGTCGGAACTGATAGACCCATTGTGCAACTTGCACTTGGGTGTCCGCAGGTCCTCAGCAGACTTTTTAATTGACTTGGGCGACGTGTCGTGAACCCCGCCGTTTGAAATCGTCTCATCGCTCTTATCCAGCGTCACCGCTGAGGTAAACAGAGGTGAGCTCGGTCAGTTCAGACGACATGGCGGTTTACGTACGGCAAACCTGAGCATGGTAAGCATGGCAGTGCAGCATAGCATATTGACTAATTAATGGCAATGGAAATATTTATTGTAAATGTTACGGATGTCAGCATAAGAAAGCTGCATGGTGGGGCAGTGCGCAAGAGGCAAATGTTACCAGCGACCCGCAAAGTAATCACACCATGCGAAATCGCCAGAATATGTCAATGGTCGTCGCTACGGTATAAATAACTGAAAAGCACATGATCATTTCCGTTACACTTTACACTAATGCACTTGATGTTGATTATTGTGAAGTGTACACAATGATTGTGTATGTTTGCTGATCGCAGTGCATACATTACAATGTGCGCTGATTGAGGCGCGTCTTACCTCGCCGCTCGGGGCTCTCGTCTAGCGCCATGTCGGGCGGCAGGGCCTCCTGCAGCAGTTGTACCATCGTATCGTTCTGGCGCGCCACCAACTTCTGTCGGCGCAGCCGGAACCGGTGGCCCACGTAGCTTTTAAAACTGAACCCCAAGGATATCACCGGATACCCGATACTGAAACGGAAACAGAGCAACATATTTTGTCATCATCCGCTACAGCTGCGATTGCCCGCTCACCTTTACCGATGGTTACCATATTGCCAACTGTGCTGACGATCGTAAAGAGAAATAAACGCATCATGTCATACTTCCGTTATTCAAATAAACACCGAAAAGTCTATTTTCTCATGACGAATGGAATTGACCATTATTATGGTAGACCTTCTGCCTTTCACCGTTACTTAGTAAAAAGACATTTTTTCAAACCACATTAGAAAATAGTTTAAAAAAAAATGCACACTACAGCTACCCACCAGTGTGCGGCGAAGGGCCGACTGAGGTCGGCGTGGAAGAAGAGATATTTCTCATCTTTTAACCTCAGTGAGGCCTCTATGTAAATAAATAGGATCCACAACGATATTGTGGGAATGCAGATGCCGCGCTCTGAAACAAATCAGTAGCACGGTCGTCACAAAGGTGTCAAACTGCCTTTTCTTTGCCACCCCACGCTAATAATCAGCACTTATACACACACATACACTACTGCAAAATATAAGTACAGCGTAAGGCAGAAATATTTAACTGGTGTTTTCTGTACAGGTACTTGATCCTGTGTCCCCGTGTTTTGGGTGTATACTTTCATTGTTTCTTGAACAGACTGAATGGTACCTCCAACATGTCTTTTACAATTATACCTGTGCCGACTTTTCTATGTGGTAGATTCCCCTGGTGACTGACTGGGTAATGAAAAATGTTGTGTTGTATCTAGGAAGAGAGTGATTTGATGCCAGTTGGCTATGGCTAAGAAATACCCAGTGGGGATGGTCGGTGTAAGCTGTAAATCAGGAACACAGAAAAGGCCGACATGAGATCCAGGCTATTGGTGAATGAGAATGGGGGAAACCAAGAGGAATATAAAGCTGGCGAGGATGTGAGGGCTTTGGATTACCGAAGCTTTGAGGGAAGGCTACTGGTGTTGAAGGTTCTCTGTAAATCTTACACCGATCTTGACCTTGCCCCTGTTACGCTCTGTCTCTGGCAATGCTACCTAACTGATAAGAAGCAAGCAAGCTGACCATTCAAAACACTCAAGTCACAATATATATCCGTTAGGTACGAGTATCGGAAATCATACAGATTACAGTCATGTTACGTACAGCCATCACTCAAACCTACCAAACTTTCCGCCTAACACTCATAAACATCCACAGTCCACACATCCATAGGAGCAGACAGTCGTTCACTGACCTGCATGCCATACGTATTGCACCCATACGTATGTGCTGGCGGCGAAGAAAAGCCAGTGCACTGGTATGAATATGTAGCAGATCATGTCGGACGTGAGCGTCATCAGAACGAAGAACAGCGAGAACGCCTGCCGGGTGAAAAGACGCATCATCGGTGTGCTACCAAGTACCACAAATGTTTATTACCATGGGATGAGCCGCAACAAAACAGTTCCGGGGACGCTGAAAACTTGTACATTCTTCAGTATTTCTTAAATACTACTAAACGGAGAATCTTCCGTTTAGTCGCAATCAAATGGAGGCACCTAAGATTTTCATTCTGAGACCGAATATACATTACACACTTATATTGCGTTTGAAAACCGTTGACCGTTTAACTCAGTCCGGTTGATGCCACCTCTCTTTACGATCCATCCGAAAACGCGTTACTGGAAACAAAAAACGCTTAAAAGTTGGCAAATCATAGGCAGGTACCTTGAATTTCAACAGAATATTTTGACCCCAACCCAACCGCATTTGTAGGCCCGCCATAAGTGAACATCTGCAAATGTGATTTCGCAACGCTCTCAGTGCCAGGGAATCTTTCGCAGGGAAAGGAAGCTTTCAGTAAGTAGAAAGCTCCCGAAGCCTCACAAGGATTTCTGTCGAATTTCTTTTTAAAGAACCAAATGTAAGCACGTACAAGCAAACACTACTGGAACACGCACAAGCTCAACAACCTCAGGCATTCCGCGCCATTGTGATAGGCACTGACTGGCTGGAATCTATTGTTGATGTATTAAACAGATGAACGTCATGAGCATGATAGCAACGTTGTAAATGTGCCAAGTACTTTCAAGGTATGGAAGCAGTAAAACGACGGTTAGACGTAGCGGAACCAACACAGGTCGCGGGAACTCGCCATTAGATCGTGGTACTCACCAGACCCTGGTATCGAAACGAGTCGTAAACTGATCTGGCGAACATCCAGAATGGCCAGAAGTACTCAAATCGGAGCTCGAACATGAAGTCGCACATGAGTACTGCCGTCCACAGCAGGACCATCTTTAAGTACGTGAACGTGCTGCTGAAAAAAAACAATGGCTTAGATGAAATACCTCACAAAAACAGATCTCTACACTACACGTACGTCGTACATATATACCAGCTATGTACATCATGCACACATGTGTAGTTCGTTTAGGTATTTAAAGTTCGACCCTCACTGTAAACGTCTCTGAACACAGCAAGAGAATTGCTAGCTGAATTACTGAGAAAACTGGCTGACGCACATAGGTTTCACCGCCTTGCTTTCACCAGAATTCTTCACCAGAAGGGCGAAGGGGTATACCCTCTCCCCTCGTATAGGGGAGGGGGTAGTTGTTCGTGAATAAGTCACATACAAAGCGAAGGATTGCGACGAAACTGTACCCTAGAGTGTTGATCAGTTGTTTTGCCTGTCCTAAAAAATTTTGTTAACTTGACCCAGACGACATTGACTTGTGACCTCGTACTCGAGATCATGTCAGGCCATGAAATGTCATTTTAAGAAGTTTTAGTAGGTGCCAATTGTCATAACATTTCGATCATTGAACAGAGGCCAGTTTTACCAACAGAGAAATAGGCGCCTGCCGGAATTTTTTTGCCTGAAAACCGCTTCACATAGGTACTGACTACAAAGCGTAAACGCGATGGGCACGTAAGCCGATAGGGCTTTACCGTTTACGCTCCATATGTGAAGCGGTCTTTAGGCAAAAAATTCCGGCAGGCGGCTATTTTTCTGTTGATTAAACTGGCCTCTGAGCTTGAGGGTCACCCAATGAACGTGGACCTCAAAATTTGATAGCAGTGGCATTTGTATCGTCACGGGCAGCACACTCGCTTTTTCTGCGATGAAATTTCTGCATGATTTGCACTGAAAATTGGGTGCCTTTTTGTGCCAAAATTAAGCCACTTTTATATAAAGCACATAGTCGGCGCGCCCTTAAGCCCCAATAAACAAACAAACGATCGAGGCTATATCAACCAGACAGAGCGTTCCGGGGCCTTGGACGCACTCCCCTGTTTGGACGTCCAAATATTTTTTTCCACGGAAACCCAATATCTCAAGAGCTTAGCGCACTGTATCGTCGTGCCGGGAAACAAGGCCGGAGCCAGAAGTTCCGGAGCCACAAAAATCAGCGGAGCGGTGTGTTCGAGGCTGCCGGGAGCCAGCGAGGGCCGGGCAGCGGATCGGAGCAGCACGTGCTCCGGCACATCTGCCTCTTCTCGGCACATGGCGCAGAGCGACGTATGGCACCGCTTGTCTGGGCACTGCTGGCACGCCGCGGAGTGGAGACGGCCGATTCGGTGCACGTACTGAAGCGAGCGGCCCCAGTGGCCCGCCCTCATGTGGTGCACCGAAACGGCGTCCTCTCGGTTCTCTCCGGGGATAGGGAGCGGCGGCATGCTCCCGGGGAGTGAATAGTGACTCTGACCAGTTGTTGCGCCATTGATGTGAGGCCGCACAATGAGCCGCCCTAGGCAGCGAGCAGGCGTTTGAGGGCAGGCCGGCCGCTTCTTACGCCAGGTTGTCCGCGCTCCCATTCCCCTCGATACTGCAGTGGGCAGGAAACCACTGCAGTATTACTTAACGACGCTCAGCGATGTTCAACAAGGTATTCCATGCCTATCTCCACGCTGGAGGTTCAGGCCTCATCTGGGTGGCCGCTCGTCCGCTGAGTAGACTCAAGGCTGCTCGCCAGTTCGAGCATGTGACGACCAGGGCCAAGCCGTCTCATTCCGAAACCTCTCTAGCTGCCCATAGGGTCATAGCATAGCCGCCCATAGGGTTAATCTGCTGCTTGATTAACCAGCGTGCCAACAAAATTTGTTGACCGTCTTTGGAAAAAAAATTGTACAGCCACCCTGCGGCGAAAAAATTGGCCGCCACCATGCTCTGAATTTGGCGCATGCAAAGTTACACCGAAGGTGCACTGAAATTCCCTGCACAATCCAGCCACTACACTGGACATATTCGACGTAACAAATAGTCTGGCCTTGGTTTCACAAACACAACAAGATCGATTCTACAAAAGTATCTACTATCTACAGCTATCCTACAAAAGAAAGCTTCAATAGAAGATGCACAAATGTCCACAGCAGCTAAAAAGACCAATTACAATAGCGATCAGTAAAGCTGGCACTTCAAGCGGACAGGCAGACAGTTAAAGGCATGAGGTGTGCAACGCATTGAAGAACAAAATCAATATTTCCACATACAATGGAAAGTGAAGCTCCCTTAGTGATTGTTAGGGTTACCTGATGAAATGAAATGCCATGTAAGAAGGGCATCATGAGAGCTAGTTGTTGCATTACATGCCAGTTTGTGTGACAATTTTATGGGAAAATGCTCTCATAGACAATAGTGACGACGGGCTCACCTTCCGTACATTCCGTCCCCAATTTTTGTCTTCTTCAAGGGTCTTCTCAATTTAGCAATATCAGCATTTCGTCTCTTCATATTCCTTTAGTATCCAGGATGCTAAAAGTGTAAAATAAATTGGATAATGCACAGCTCCCACGGCATATAATCCCACTCATTCGCCAGCAATACACAGGTACCAAGCAAATCCACTCTGTTATGATGCCTTGCATATGCGCACGCAGCTGCTGCGCAAACCAAGCGCAAAACAGTAATTTCAATCACGGCTTCAATCAAGTTTTTTGCTCTTGCTTCCGTTTGCTTTGCCTATAAATAGGTTTTTCTTTAAATAAAATTATTTGTTTCAATTTTTTGTGAAATTTCCAAAAGAAACGAAATTTAAGTACAAATATTAATTTTGCTATCTTTCCCTGCATCAAGTTGGGACGGTTCCCAAATACGTACAAAATAACTTATATGGCCTTGCAAAATACCTATTTGCGGTTTGTTTTCGGCGGTATCTAATTCGTATAGCTCAAACATCACATCAATACAAAGCGATGACCTTGCATGATATCAGAATTGTGTATTGTTCTAATTTCCTCTGCGGCTAACTTTAAGTTATGCTGCGTTTTAGTTCTTCCGCAGAATCTTGCAGTGTTTTTATTCCATCGCTGCGGCGTGATGGCGCCCCCCACTGTTCTACGGATGCTTGTTTTGTTAGTTATTTTCTTAGTTGTTTTGTTTTTGTGCGAGATTTAAGTTGTAGTGCTTTGGTGGTCAATTTGAAAATTTACTAAGGTACCTATGCTACATTTTCTATATATGAGCTGGTCAACCTTTACTGCGCTGTCAAATTGCAATGGTTAGGCTGGGTTTGGGGTAGGGGGAGGCTAAAAAAAAATGCTATGAGCAAAAAAAATGTTACACTAAGAAGTTCGGTATAAGTAAGTCTGGTGTCCCAGGAAGATGCCAGATACTGTTGTTGGTGTAGGGTTGTAGGTTTGTAGGGTAGGTTGTAGGTTTGTAGGTTGAATGTTTGGGTATCAGTAACCCTGGCCTGGCGTCACCGGTAGTGTTTTCGCAAAAGGTTAAGGTTTCCTGTATTAGGACGCTGTGCCAAGCCGAAGCATGCTGTGACATCAGTGGGTAAGAGAAGATAACGTACCACGTTATCAGTTTCGACTGAGACTATAGACTCAGGCAGACTCAAACTGTCTCGACTGACTCAAACCGATTCAGATCGACTCAGTCCGAATCAAAATGACTCAAACTGACTCAGACCAACTCAACCAACTCAAATTGATTCCGATCGACTCAGACAGACTCAGAAAGACTCAGGCAGACTCAAACTGACTCAACCAACTCTAATTGATTCAGATCGACTCAGACCAACTCAAACTGACTCAGACCAATTTAACTGACTCGAATCGATTCCGATCGACTCAAATCGATTCTGATCGACTCAGACAGACACAGAATGACTCAGGCAGATTCAGACCGATTCCGATCGACTCAGACTGACTCAGATAAACTCAGAATGACTCAAACTGATTCAGAACGACTTAGCCGACTCAAATTGTTCTGATTGACTCAGACCGACTCACTCAGAATAACTCAGACAGACTCAGGCACTCAAGCCAGCTCAGGCAGACTCAGACTAATTCAGGTTGACTCAGACCAATTCAGATCGACTCAGACCGACTCAGATAGACTCAGAACAACTCAAATCGACTCATACTGACCTAACCACTGACTCAAACCGATTCTGAGCGACTCAGACAGACTCAGAATGACTCGGACAGACTCAGACAGACTCAAACCAACTCAGGCAGACTCAAACTGAGTCAGGCAGACTCAGACGGATTCAGATCGACTCAGACCGTCTCAGATAGACTCAGAGCGACTCAAACTGACTAAGACCGACTCAACCGACTCAAATCGATTCCGATCGACTCAGACAGACTCAGAACGACTCAGACAGACTCAAACTGACTCAACCGACTCAAACTGATTCAGGTCTGATGATTCAGGTCAAACTGATGGGTCTGTCTGAGTCGGTCTAAATCGGTTTGAGTCGATTGAGTCGGTTTGAGTCTGCCTGAGTATGTCTGAGTCGTTCTGAGTCGATCGGAATCGATTTGAGTCGGTTGAGTCGTTCTGAGTCTATCTGAGTCGGTCTGAGTCGATATGAATCGGTCTGAGTCGATCTAAATCGGTTTGAGTCTGCCTGAGTCGGTTTGGGTCTCCCTGAGTCTGTCTGAGTCATTCTGAGTCTCTCTTAGTCGACCGGAATCGATTTGAGTCGGTCTTAGTCGGTCTGAGTCGTTCTGAGTCTATCTGAGTCGGTCTGAGTCGATCTGAATCGGTTTGAGTCGGTCGAGTCAGTTAGAGTCTGCCTGAGTCGGTTTGAGTCGTGCTGAGTCTGTTTGAGTCGATCGGAATCGATTTGAGTCGGTTGAGTCGGTCTGAGTCAGTTTGAGTCGTTCTGAGTCTATCTGAGTCGGTCTGAGTCGATCTAAATCGGTCTGAGTCTGCCTGAGTCGGTTTGAGTCGTGCTGAGTCTGTTTGAATCGATCGGAATAGATTTGAGTCGGTCGAGTCAGTTTGAGTCTGCCTGAGTCGGTTTGAGTCGTGCTGAGTCTGTTTGAGTCGATCGGAATCGATTTGAGTCGGTTGAGTCAGTCTGAGTCAGTTTGAGTCGTTCTGAGTCGGTTTGAGTCGATCTAAATCGGTCCGAGTCTGCCTGAGTCGGTTTGAGTCCGCCTGAGTCTGTCTGAAACATTCGGAGTTTGTCTGAGTTGATCAGAATCGATTTGAGTCGGTCGAGTCAGTTTGAGTCTGCCTGAGTCGGTCCGAGTCTATAGTCTCCTCAGTCGATACTGATAGCGTGGTACGTTATCTTCTCTTACCCAGTGACGTCACAGCATGCTTCGGCTTGGCACGGCGGCCTTATACAGGAAACCTTAACCTTAACGAAAACACTACCGGTGATGCCAAGGCCACAGGGTTACCGATACCTAGGTTTGTAGGTTGTAGGTTTGTAGGTTGTAGGTAAGGTTAGGTCAGGTTAGGTTAGGTTTGTTTTGGTCTATAATATCTCCGTCGTCCCAATCTGGCATCTTCCTGGGATGCAGGTCCCAATTTTCCTGACTTTTGGATCAATGACCTGACCTGGAAGGTCACCTGAAATCAAAGGACGTTAAAGTTTAGTATCGTCAACTTCCCATCATCACAGGCAACACGCTTGTTTTTTTTTGCGAAGCTGTAGCTCGACCAAAGGTCAAATGGTCGACATCCCACACCAACACCCTCATAGTAAATGGCTGGGATAATGCTAAGGTAGTCATAAAGCAGGTATCACACTTGTTTTTCAACCAAGGAGAGGTGCTTTACCTAGAGATGCTTCTTTCTAACCAAACTAAAACTTACCTTAGCTACCTAACCTCACCTAACCTAACACTAACCTACAACCCTCAACCTAAAACCTACAACCTATATAACATACATTTCTGGGTGTAGCACCTCTCTTTGGCTGCAAAAACAAAGTGTGAAGCCTGCTTTATGGCCGCCCAATGCTAATACAGACAGGGGTTTATCTGCTCCAATTGTGCAATCAATTTTTTGTGCTTGGTTGGTTTGAATGTTTCAATGAACAGATTAACCTGCACCCTGCTGTGGGAGGGGGAGGTTGAACACCCTCCTGTGGTTTTGGCACAACTTACCAATTACCATACATGAATTCTACACATGTTGTGTAAATTGCAGACAAAGGTTATTTATGGTCAGGTCACTAGGTCACTTCAAGTGACCTGACCTCATAAAGTTTTCAATGTGCGGAAAAGATGCATGAACAGGTGTGCTAAAAACGGCGGCGCGGAGCGCCATCGTTTTTGAGGTATCTGCGAAAAACCGCAGGGGTGTTCAAACACCCCTCGGCCCGGCGCGGGTTAAGCTCGACGCTACAGATCGACTGATATGCAACATGACCCTTTGATGACCTTAACCCGAGGTCATATTTTCAAGTTGACCTTTCAAGGTCAATTTATAGTTCATTTGATGCGTCTTGACGAGAGGAATACGATGCTGGTAAATGCAAGCTCGTGCAAGGCTTGAGTCAAAAGTTATTGCATAAAAACTTTCCGAAAAATTGGTTTTTTGGCGGTTTTTACCCCCTGCAGGCAAAACCGTTAACGCTAGGTCAAATTTGAGAGCAACACATAGAAAGAGCGTTAATAGGGCCATCGAATCCGCTTTTCCGCGGCGCTGCAGCTCTATTGGTTCTCGTGTTATGCGTTGGCTTCTTGGAAATTGCCCACATACGACCTAAAAAGCGGCGAAATTTTGCCGTCAATGACTTCTGGTGGCCTGACCTTTGACCTGAGCAAAGAAGTGACTGAAGTGTTTTCGTTCTTCATTTTTGGCGCTCTTTCCAACCCCGCCTTCCGCATATCACTACGTGGCCCAGGAGCCGCGTTAGAAGGGGGGGTGTTCAAACACCCCCCCCCCCCCCCCAGCAGGGCAGGGAAATCCAGAACCCCCAGCAGGGCCCGTGCTAAAGAGCCAGAGCCCACGCTAACTACCTTGTTGAACAGGTCCTGATCCCTAGACAATATTTTAGACAGGGGGAGGATAAAGATAATAAAGTTGAACATGCCCATTATCGTTGGACTTTGTCCATCCCACCCACTGACTTTAACTGGCTGAGGCTGCTCTCGCCCATCGTAGATCATCCCTGTCAGGACTTTCATATATGGATCGCCTGAGTGACCTGGGGTGTCAAACGCCCCCTCAGGTTTTTTTTGTTGTTGTAAATATCTGAAAAGCGTGACGGTTTTTGGTACACTTGTTCATACATCTTTTCTGCACATGTTGTGAAAATTTCAGACTCGGGTCGCTCAAGGTCAGGTCACAGGTCGCGTCAAGTAACCCTACCTCGTAAAAAGTTCCAATGTTGGCTATATCTACACCAACTGAATTATTGTTTGGAACTTTCAGCGATTGATAAGAGTAACAGTATGTATAAAATGTTTATCTAGGAATTCTGATATATGTGACCTAAGGTCAGATCAATTTTGCAACCTCTCCATTATAAGTTAATGGGAGAAAATTGAAATGCTCCTCTTTTGGATGAACGTCGTTCTAAACACTCAAACATTATTTTATGGGTAACCATGCCATGTTGAATCGGAAAATTGCACTCGTGACCCCTCTCTGTGCCCCTGAGGTCATCTTAGGTCATGAAAGGTCCCCATCTGTTTTTTTTTATAACTTTTGTTAGAGACATGGTAGAGCGGTGAAAACACCTCACTTGCGTTAAGCTCGACGATATGGATTGACTGATATGCATGACCTGTTCCAGTCAGGTGACCTTTAGGCTTTATCCGAGGTCAAATTTTTATAATGACCTTTTAAGTTCAACTTATAAATCATTCGACGTGTCTCGACGAGAGGAGCACGATGCT